GGGTGGGTGTGGGTGTGGGTGTGTGGTTGTCACATCTCCAATGGTATCCACACCCACACACCCACCCACACCCATACCACCAGCCACACCCACACCCACCCACAACCACACCCACACCCCACACCCACAATTAGCCATTATCAAGATACAAATGACTATGTTTGTGGCTCAATTCACCATTCCCATGGAACGCTCAACCCATTCTATTTCACATTTGGCCATCCATATGGCACAAATGAGCATGTCTGTGTTATACTTGGCTATGGCTGAGATAGAAATGACCATTATTAAACCCCCATCCAGTTGAAAAGCTCCCAGGAGTTTCTAATTCATCCATCATCGGAAAGTTTCGGAGGGGACTCTAATTAGGTTCTAAAATTTTCAACAGTTTTTGATAGTAAAAGATTTCAAAGGATTTGAAGTGTGTTTAGGGTTTTTGAGAGTGTTTTAAACAACTTTCTAAGAGATTTCAAGATTTTTATGCTGACAAGTAAGGAAATTGAACATATTCTCATCTTAAGATCGCGAATTTTCAAAATGTTTTGATGAAAATATCAATAAAAGTTTTCAAAAAGTTTTTAAAATTAGAGGAGCTTTTAAGGCAACTTTCACGTTATCCTGTCTGGAGGAGACTCCTAATATGGAAAGAGGTCTTTGGCATAAATCAGAGTTTTTACTCGTTATAATCAATTAAAGCATAAGTTTTTTATATACATTAGCGCCTTTCAATATTTTATGTCAACTGTTTGAATATATCTCTGGTATGTGACATAAAACATGTTACAAATATTGATAAATCCTCCTGTAGTCATCATTGTACAGAATTCATTTTTATGTAAAATTATAAGGACATCTTTGTCATCATTTCGTCAGTCTAGGATCCAATGAATCAACATTGAATGTTGATGAACGTTACTTGTTTTATAATGATCAAACAAATTAAACGTAAATTTTATTAAAAAAAATACACACTTGGTTAGTAAACTAACTAAATAGAAAGTATTTCTTGTTTTAAAAATATCATTCAAATAAGTATTAGTTAAGAATCGCAGTTCTGTAACATAACAATTCTGATTGTCTATAATCATGCTTTATAAGTGATTTTCAAGTATGGCAAAGCTTGACCATATCGATAAACAATATATTCATTGAATCCTGCCAATGTTCCTACGACTGAATGAAATCCCAGTGGTGCCGCAACCAACTTTTGATTAGTCGATGCTTGTTTCGACTCGTTACCTAACGAAACTTTAGCGTAAAACATAACACGTGTGCTACCAGGTGGATGAGCCCCCGTATACCCATGTGATTTCTTAGGATCATCAGCAAAATATGCACCACGACCTAAATGTTCAAAAAGAAAAGTATTAGTACGACCATCACTAATTCAAAAAATCCTGCAACTTTTATTATACACTAATGAGATTCGCCTAATGCGAAGGTCGTTATGAAATAGTTAAAGTTTTAAGATGAGCTCGAAGGGCCTCTGCACCTTATCTAACAAATAACAGTTCTTTAAACATAGTTCTGTTGAAATATAGATTTTCTAATCACATCTCTTTCTCATCTAAGCAAGTCAAAAAAAGAATTCACTCGATCAATAGGCGTTTTTCATGGGACAGATTGATTATTTTTGACTTTCCTATTCTTTATTTGTCTTTCCTATTACTATCTATACGCTTCATTCTTAATACAAAGGAAGAATGGTGAATCTTGGTCTAAAGAATTATATTTAGATTTTTGAAATTTTCAGTTTCGTTCGACTTTCAGAATCATACAATCAAAACACACCATTCCCTCTTGTCTAGTATTGCATTGATATGTGAAACAGACATTTCAACCTTGTTAGGGCTGCGCTGATAACCATTGTTTTTAGTTTCGATCCTGTAACGAATAGAATAGTCCCATACTGAATAAAAGTTTCGAGAGGCTGGTTTTTAATGAGTAAGACATTACTCTCAGCTAGAATAACTAGATTATACACAGCAAAGCTAGACAAATGTGTATTCTTAAAAGGAATTTAATTTGTGTTGAAAACATCGAAATGTATCGATGGTTAAAGCAGCTCTTCAAAAGCATCGTCGTCCGTCAAGAAGCGAATAGATTAACACACAAATGATACAGATATAGATAATGACGACAAAGGTATTGGTATGTTTATGAAGTTCTATTTTTCGTCCTCGTTTTTGTGAATAACAAATAAATATAACACAGAATTTGTGTATAAAAAGTTGCTGAATCGAGCAACAACTTTTTGAGTCGTTCGAAAATATATTTACAACTTCTGATCATCTGATTTTCAGCATTATATATATATATGCCTTTTTCCCAGCACTTCAGAATAACTTTGTGCCTAATCTGAGCTGCAATATTTTCAGGAAAAAAACGAGTAACTTCTACAGAAATAGCCGAAAACTAGACAATTAACAGTGTAAATGTAAAGGTTTAAAATCACACTGAACAATGTGTACAAAGTTTTTCCCATAGAATATACTTGTTTGTCACAGATATTAGTAAGAAATGACGTATATTGAGATACTCTCTACATACATAGCATTATTTAGAAACAATCGATTCTATTCATTATTGATAGAGTTTATTTACATTAGTATTTGTGCTTTTCAAAATGGGTTAATACAGCTAAATTAAATCAATACGTTTCAGTATGTGACATGAATATATCGACTACTTCAAAACAGAATATTTGTAAAAGACACAACACCTACACAAACCCTCATAGTGAGAGGAGTAACAAACATTAATCTCGTAAATCTAAAATATAAGCTGTTCATAGTCTAACATAAGAAAAATATAAAAGACACATTTTCGATAAGTTTTGGTGTATAAAAATCTGTTTTCAAATTCTCAGCTAAATGCTAAGCGAATTAGGATACTTGTAATTTATATAAACACCATAAACACGACTTTTAAAAGCATCGAAGAATTATCTTCACAAATATCCAATTTGAATAAGTGCTAGAAGACTGCTGCTTCACTTAAAATCGGGAATTTCTTAGAATCACCGTAAACATTGAGGAGCAACCATTAGTTTTACACCAATACTCATAAACTGTCTTCTGACAGCTACGGGTCCTGATCTAGACTCACTTTTTTCTTCCGTATTTTTATCATCAACATTGGAAAAGTGGGCAAAAAAAAGGAGAAAACTTCATAAACATCGAATCAGACTATACTGACAACCTGAAACCATTCAACGTGCATCGACTACTCATACCCGGCACAATCACACTTCACATGTTGGTGTCTGATTCCAAGTATCTGCTCAAGCATTTAGAGAGTAAACACGTTATCTTGATTCTCACCGTCATCTACCATTAAAACAGATAGTCGAATCATTGAGAACATTACTTTTAATGAGCCAAATGTTCATGTCTTTACAAATACTTCGTGAAAACTTTTGTATTAGTTAAGATCAAAAGAATCTAATTCTGAGATTCGGTATTAGAGAGAGCCATAAGAAGAATGGAAGAAGTTATTGGACAGAAAAGTAAAGTAGAAGAGCCAATCGAATAAAGAGGTTATCAATATACACAATACTTGGTGAGTGAGTGTAACGTGAAACTCATTCACTATGTAGAGATCCGAGTGTTCCAAAGAGTCAATTTTATCGCGTAATTTTCTACGAATCTTAGCCAAACAAATAATGATCAGTCATGAATGTTAATCATTTATAGGCATTTTGGCTGAGATTTTGAAAAAGGGAACAAAAATTGGCTTGTTAAATAATTCATATTTCTGTATGGAATATCTAGAGAAAGACATCGTTTTAACCTAGAGATATTTCCAAAGGCATATTATCTGAGTCCAGTCTCAGTTCGACAACGATTATATATTTCGAAAGGCTCTCTCATTAGGCAGCAAGTTATGTTACAACTGTTCACCGATATGATCAAATTATTCAAAAGAAAACAAACTTTCTAGGTGTAATACATCTATTGTGCTTCCAATTTCTTACCCCAATTGCCACCTGTACTGAAATAGCGATCATCAAAACCGTTATCTCGTATACCATCGATTGCTTCTCCACTTGTACCATGAAATAGTTCACGTTCATTCGGATCGAATCCTGTACATTGTTTAGCAATAATTTTTTTCATTGCTTCATATTGATCTTCCAAAAGTGGATTCTTTATCTGTTCAATCGATATGATTGTTACATTTCCTATATTTTTCATTTGTGCTTCCACAGTTTTATATAATTTATCTGATGATGGTAAACGTACTAGAACAGACCAATATTTTGGGTCTGGATTCGGCACAACTAAGAACGGTTGTCCTATTTGTGTCCAATGACGAATATTTACCATTTTGTCAACACGCTGCTCGACATTAGTATCAATCGGACGAAGTATTTGAAAGCGTTTATTCTTAATATTATCGACAATAGTTTCAAGTTCAATGAAATATGGTCTTTGTTGAATATCAACACGCATTGCTAATTCATGTGTATAATCTTTTTCCAATGATAAATTATTTACATCGAAATCAATACGATCATGTGTTAATGCCACATGTGGTTCAATTAAATCCATTGTATATGGACCTGTTGGAACATCTTCATCAATCAACAAGACATATCTCCAATCTTGTCGAAAGACTCTGCATGCTATATTATATTTGTGCAATTCATCTTGAAATTTCTCAATATCAAAGTAACAATGTGTCGGTAAATGACAATCTAAATCCGCTGGAACGACTTCTCTGTTCATATATGGTAGGTTATTCACATAGTCAATCCAGTCTTTCGGACTTGGTAATGGATTAGCTGGTCTTGATATATAATTTCCAACAACCCAATCACGTACAAAACCACCTTCAAGTTTGCAAGAAAATTTACAAACAGCTATCCAAGCGACAGCTTCCATTCGTGTTTCACGAGTTGCGTTTGGACCTTTGATACTCTTGTACAACTCTACAGGTGTTCGTTTAGGATCGGTAATATGAGAAATTCGTTCTTCAATATCATGATATTTTGCGCGCACTTGGGGACGAAAAACACGTGGAGGAACACCTAAATAGAATATAGTATTGAGTTGTACTGTAAATCAAATTGAAAATCATATACATGGGAAGAAAAAAAATTTTTCTTCTATTTCTAGAGTATCTGTCTATTTATTTATTTAGTTTATTTATTCGTTACGGTAAGTTAATGTTCACACTTTTTAATTGGCCATTATTATAATCGTATAACGATCATTCACTAAGTCTTATTGTTTCTGATTCATATTTATATGGTAGTAATAAGGTAGAACTTGATATGTCCTCGTCAACACTTCATCAATTCATTCGAAAGGTTTTTACTCAAAACGGAATTTTTTTTTAAATATTAATGTTTTCTTTTTTGTCTTCAATAAACAGTTATATGCTATATTGAATAAATAGATATTTTGCTTAATCATATTATTTTGATATCTATAACTTCCTTGCCCTCTTATAAAGATAGTTTTCTGTTTCAGCTTAATTATTACTATTATTGTATTAGTATGTAAAAAAATTACACAGACTACAACAGATGGGTAGACCAAGTCTCCGAAAAGTTGACCTATTTGAATCTCTGGAATCCGGCGAATGAACCATTGGCGTAACCAGGGTTTTGTCTAAGGACGAGAGACAGAAGGACAGCGCCTCAAATAGTTTATAAAGGAGGGTCAATCAGCTTACGAAGGGAGCTCAAATGGTGAATGGAATATTGAGATGGCTGACTCCCCAGCACGACCTCTGCGTACATGATTGGAATCAATCCTCTACTCATCGAACAGTAGAATAAACTGTGTCTCATACATACACCAGTCACATTCATAGAGCTGTGGAACTAAACATATGGAACCGAGGGACAGAAAAACAAAAACATATCATACCGAACATGCGTAACATGGAAACCGAGCTGCTGGCCTGGACATAATGAAATATTAATTTTCGTAGTAGTAAAGTTGAAAATTTTGTTCAACAACTTTTGTCGCTTATCATTGGTAAACACTCTTATAGGAAAAAAGTGAATAAATAAAGGAGAGAAGACAACAGCTATGAATAATTTTTTTAGCAGAAAAACAGGAAATAGTGCCATTGTTTAGTTGAAAGGTAAAACTCTCTTCTTTTTTTCACAATTTCTTTTTGAGAAACAATTTATTTACAGCTACATCAACTAATGATGGTTGTACTTTATTAATCTCTCATGCTTAACCCTTTAACGTGTGGTGGGACAAATATGTCCCACTTTTTTGTTTTCGATCGCAGCACTATGATAAACTAAGATCAATGACGTTGATGGAAAGAACGATGATATTGCATAGACGGAATTAATTTCCGGTTATTCGAGTTCAATTAAAGGTGTTTATCCGTTTCTTTAATAGGAAGATTTGAAGAAGACCACCACTAATTCTCACTTTCAAAAGAACCTTGACCATTCAAAATTCGCCCGTTAAAGGGTTAATCTATTTTAATATCATCAGATGCAAATTTTTCATAATGTGCTTCTTCGTTGGAATCATTAATATATGCTACCAATTTATTATCAGCTCTTTCTTCAATCGTTCTATTTTTGAGTTTCCGGCTAAGTTAAACAACCAAACTAGTAGTTTTGAGAAAACTTTACTATGTAAGGTTATAGAATTTAACGAAAGTGAAAAACCAGAAACATCAGCTGGAGGCACCTCGGCTCAAACCACGTCAAACTACAAAAGTAGCCTTTTGGCAGCTCTAGTAGGGAAAACATGGTATTTGACAGCAAGATACAGAACACATTATCAGGGACATGGCAGTTAAAGGATAGCGCTTAAACAGAAAACCATTTATACAGCATGCACGGGATCTGGTTACTTATTCACAGTCAAATGTTCAATTTGATTCTGATATAAAATTTCTAGCTGAGCTAGTAATAAGAAAGGAAACAATCACAGAATGATATTCAAAACACTTATCAACAATAACATAATTAAATCGATTGCTTGGTTTTTGACTTACCTGAATTGGGATGTCGAATAACAGCACAATGTCCTAACCATCCCAAAAATGAATTGAATTCTTTTTTCACATTTTCATATTCCGAATCTCTGCCGACGACTTTTACTGTAATAGTTTTTGTTGATGTATTAGGATTAACAGTTATTTTGACTTGTTTCTCAGCTTCCCATCGCCAAGTCATTGGTTTAAATATTTGTGGCATTTTGATCACACTTTCCAAATTTCGTGATAAATTTATATATTCAGTTGAGTCTTTTAGAAACTTATTTTCTAACGAAAATTCAGGTTGTTCAATAGCCAATTGTTGTAACAAATGTAATTCAGCGGTGAGAGAAGTTCCAGCACTACCGTCTAATAATAGATTTGTCTTGTTGGGTTTACTACTCGGATTTACTAGCATAGAAATTTTATGGAATTTTGCTTTTGCTGCTGTCAATATATTTTTATCATTTAGATGAGCTAATTCTTTGCTATTTAATTCTACATTTCGTTTAAGTTGATAATCTACCCATTCTGGTTGAAGTTCACCGAGGAACGAAAGTACCGCTCTCGAACGAATCGAAGATGCATAACGGATGTCTCTTGCCAAAACAACAGGGACAGGCGTCATACTTATGTGACGGGCAAGACTCGATTGTGAATCTAAGACAGCAATGTTTTCATCACTTGAATCATATCGAACATAATGATGATTTCTTCGATATAGTTCTTTCAATGAAACAAATACATTTTCGTAATAACCAGCTAATAATGATTTAGCAATTGATGGCCAATCACCAGATGTTATTTGTGATGGTCCATAATAATCTTTTGATGACTTAAAAGATCTTTCTAAAGTTTTATAGCGTCTTAATGCTTGTCGAAGAATATGTTGAATACTAGTTAGACCTTTCGTTTGGCAAATAAGTTGCAAATCATATGCTTTGCCTGGTACAGATTGACCAACACGCAAAACTTCTTGCATTACATTAAACAATGTCATGAAGTCACCATCTGAACTTTTTAGATTTTGTGGGATTGATTTCAATAAAGCGGTTGTATTAAGAACACTTAGAATAGATGATATATAGATAAGATCACGTCCACAAGAATATTTCGTAAGAGCAGCCCATACGCATTTTGACATTGCCAATGAACCAAAATCGGGTAGTTTAGCAAGAGCTTCACCTTCTGCTGTAAATTTTTCACTTGGACTGGACTCCAAAATGCCTTTTAAAAAAAGATAATTGAAAGCTTATGATCATGCATTCTTTATCTCAAAAATATAAAGATAGATATTAATTTCTATTAGGTAAATCCCCAAACATATTCTCAAAATTTGTCAGTTGATAGAGAATAGCTTCAAGAGTATATCTGGACTTAAGAAACATATTTTAAAAGTTCTTCAGTTTTCGATATGAATGTTATAATTAGTTGGTGAAATGTAGTTTGATAGAGAATTGTTCGCAGATATAATTTCATGCAAAAAAATAGTTTAAAAAATGACTTTTTTGAGTGGTTTTTGACAACTCATTGGGCCTTATGAACACTAATTAACGAGATTCTACCGTGTAAAGTAAATTTCCTGATGTCAACATACATCGAAAGAACTTTTTGAACCTTATCGATTGTCGGACTGATTTCTTTCAGGAACTTCCATTTTGAAAAAAAATCGATGATAATCGAAACATTGTAAAAGTCAGCCCGTATTTTGCGACTTTAACCACTATATTTTTACTAACGACCAAAATCCATATGATATTCGGAATCGGCATCAAAAAGCTGAGACGAATAATATATTTGTATCAAAACTTCATGTCGAACGGAGTCATGGACGAAATTCTTTGAAAAAACCCGAAGGAAGATACTTTCAGTCTAATGTGAAGTGAATTGAGACCTGGTGAACGCTACTTGTCGCTACTCAGTAACGTTCATCGGAGATCGATTCATTTCGATCGAGACTGAAAGATGAATGGAAGTTAATGCTAATAAAATTGTTTAAAGAATAATTAAAGGCAGATTTGTGCTAAATATTCACCTTTTATCGGCAAAAGAATGTCATTGTGCGAGGTATGTTGAATTTGATGTTATGTAGAACCAATTTACAGAAAATATGACTTTAAAGAATTGCAGTAACATGCCTCTAGGTTTAAAATATGCAACACAACAGAGCTATTTTATAGGGGTCGCAGCGGGGGGGGGGGGTACCGAAAAGAAGGATTTTGAGAATGAATTTTCGGAAGAAGAAGAAGGAAATCCGAAGAAAAGTAGGAAAAGAAGGGAAAGAAGGATTTTTCAGAAGTCCTGCACTACAACGGTAAAATTATATTAGAAGTCGAATAGTAGACGATAGGTACGAGCTCAGACGAGAACGAACTTCAAACATGAACAGTTGGCTTTTTGTCATGGGTATATCTGTGTTGCCAATTCATCCCATGTCTCAATGGTTGTCTCGGCAGTTCTACAGGTAACATACGTCCTTCAGCACATGTATCGCTATTCCCTGTATCGATCATGAAAATCGTGTATTATCAAACTATTCCTTAATATAATATCGGAGATATATGGCCATTACGAAAGTATCAGATTTTCTTGCTGATCGATAAATGAGCTGCAATCTTTAGAGTAAGCTACTAGTACAATTGAAAACCTGACAGTGCAAGCAGAAAAATTTTCCAGAATTTCTTGAACTAAATCAGTGGAACCAAACCGAAAAATCGCATGCAAGTATGATGATCAAAATCTTTGATTTTGAAAAAGTGAGTTAGCAATATTGCGTGTTTTTTAAACTAAAAAAATGAACTTGAAGTGGTCTGATGAGGTATCAATTTTCCTCTTATACGAATATCTAATGCCAGACTGAACATATATCCGCAATTTTTATTTCGTAAACAACTACATAAGATTTCCAAGTCGACGCTGCTTTACAATTCTGGCATACTCACTTTCACTTTTACAAAATCGAGAGTTTTGATCTCGTACTCCTTAAGAGTTTTTCGATATGGTTCCGATGACTTGTTAAAGAAACTGTGAAAAATTTTTCTGATGGTGCTGTTCAGCTTGAGTCATGCCAGATATTTGTAAGAGAAATTCTGGACCGTTTATCGACTCTCAAGAAAAGTTGCTCATTTCGTAGCGCAGGAATCTCGCTCTATCTTCGAAAAATTTGCAACGCAACACAAAGCGACCCTTTCTATCTGTTACTCTTGCACATAGTAAAACAAAAAGTTATCCTAAACATACCATTGTCGTCTAGAAGTGAGACGCTTCAGATAATTCGAAGTTAAGTTACCTGGTTAACTAAAATTTTGACATTGAAAGCTGAATTCAACTCATAAATGTTTTTCAGCTTGTAGAAAGATGTTTTCCGTCATCTGATATTTCTATAGTATCCCACTCGGATTAAGATGCCTTACTACCTCTCAATCCAGATACGTTTTTTATCGAGCTTCGTGTTCTAAACGAGGTTCCAAGGTAATTTTCACGTTCTCCATCGATTCGAGTTAACTGGACACTTGTCCAATTCTTTGATATATGTACGCGTACACGATTTCAAATACTTTTCAAGTTTTTTAGTCGGTATATAGTTCAATTATGACTCATAACTTTTTCGAACCATAAAAGTTAAAAAAAACGTCCTTGAAATGTCAAGTCAAACGAAACTTGAAAAGATAAGAAAAACTATAGTTCAAGCGGAGAAGTCTTGGACATCTCTGGAATTGATTGAACAACTTAAATTGCGTGAAAATTGACAATTGATTTTGAGTTGAATTGAAACTAATTTACATGCATGACCCATTCACAAGCACTATCCGACGTACTGTCAAATGTTGGTTGCCTTCCTGCTTTTATTTATCAACAACCATCTAACAAAAACTGTGTTTCTTGTGTTCTGCTGAGTAAAAATCTCAGCCGAACATTGATACGCGACGAAAGGTCATTCACGCAAGTGTCTATAAAACTGGCTATAATGAGCTCAGCTTCTGTCATGCTTCGTCACTGAGTACATGCCCGCTATTTTGAGCAGTAACCGAATTTCAGCGAAGAGTCATGATAAGTATCTTAAGTCCTGCACATATGTATCGAGTAAACCAAAGTCCTACTTGCATGCCATAACATAAGCATGGTGGACTTTTCATTGAACTTGCAGTGAACTAAACATTTTCAGGAGCTCTGAGAGCTAGCTTTTCTAACAGCAGATGTACTAAGCATAAAGAAAATGTACAGATCATATACTGTTGTTAATGTACATACTGCTTTCTACTTAATCAAGAAACTTGCCTGAGCAGAGTATAAAGCAATATGTATATTGGCAACAGTATGTGATTTGTACATTTTCTTTATGTTTGGTACACTTGTTGTTAGAAATGATGCTGAGGGCTCTCTATCTAACATAAGCATTGTTCATATATTTTCTGACGATTCTGAGTGGGTATTTGTATGAAAACTAAAAAAAGAAGGAAAAAAAGGATTTTTCAAGAAAAGAAGGACGAAGAAGGATGCTCTGAGAAAAGAAGGAAAGAAGAACTGCTGCGAGGCCTGATTTTAATTGTCAGCAAGTCAAGAAACTATATAAATGAAACTAAAAATTGAATTTTTCCATTTAGAATTCTATGTACAGCGACGAATCGAATCATTCTTCTACAACTCGAGGTATAAAGTCTTAACAATGAAAAGGTTCAAAAAAGTCTATCAATTCGAAGAAGCTATTAATAAAGTACCAAAAATCATAGTTGAAAACACCCCTTTAGAAGATGTCATCCGAAAATTCGTACTCTCACACCAGTACTATCAGATGAACATTGTATATTAGTAACTATTTCTTACCTAATTCTCTTAGTTCTTTAACTGTATGAACAATTGTTTTATTTGGTGGATGATCTGGAAAGAATTGTTTCATATAGTTCATTCCTTGTTTTAATGGTGATTTTCGTAATCCGAATTCGATATTGGTTAAATCCGATTGACATATTTGTGGTGTTGGATATCGTTTATCTTCAACTGTAAAATCATATAAGGAATAATATTCTCCAGGTTGTGTTCGACCCAATCGTCCAAGACGTTGTTTTATCGTTGATTCAGCTGCTCGATCTTCTTTTAGTACAGTTCGTTTAGAATCTGGATCATAAACAGGAATATTAATATAACCTGTGTCGACAACATATTTTAATTGAGGAAATGTTAATGAAGTTTCAGCAACTGTTGTCGAAAAGAATACACTTCCATTCTCAATATATTCGTTTTGTGTCGAAGCTTGTTGTGATTGAATAAGAGGATAAGCAATGATTACTCCACCAGTTATAGTTTTCAATAATGAACAACATTCATTGACATCCTTGACAGAACTAACAAAACATAAAATTTGATCATATCGTCGACGTTTTTGATACAATTCTTGTACAATATTCAATATATTTTCATTTCGGCGAGGAATTTTAGTAACCTCATATCTAGTACCCATTTGTGGCATTACAAATTCGGCTAATGTGATTCCTTTTATTTGACGAAAAAGATTTGGTACAGATGAATCAAGTGTAGCAGATGAAATAATCAATTTCATTTTTGATTTTAAATCTGGATTAATAGATAACATTCGTGCTAACAATGCTAAACAATGATCGATATTTACAGAACGTTCATGAACTTCATCAATGAAGAAAATGATTGATTTGTCTAATTGAGTGTTACGTGTAATGAAATTTTCATCATAGAGCAGACGTTCTTTAAGAAGACCATCAGTTACATATAGAACTCTTGCTTTTGGATTTTTTTCAGCACCACTAACAGCCCATCCAGCTAATTTCTCTGAAAAAGGATTTTCCACTAATGTCGTTGTTTCATTAACACGTTGACAGATTAATGTGCAAGGTAAACGTCGAGGTTGTGTAACAATAATTTTATCGTAACCTTCTGCGGCAAGTAGAGCTGGTAATAATGTTGATTTTCCTAGAAACAGAAAATATGACTATGAGCTACATTTCAAACCAATAATCTATATATATAATGTTCAGTGCCTGGGTGGCAGTACAATTCGTTGCCGAACAATTCGTCGCAGAGATATAATCCAACCATGTCATTGCAACGAATTGTCCTAGTGCCGTGTGTTTGTGTCGGGTTAAAGATCGTAAGGCTATAAGGGTGTAGGGTAGAGATGAGCGGGACTAGTCGTTTTTTGTTCCAGTTTCAGTCCCGGTCAGGAAGAAATCTTGGTTCCGGTCAAAAAAATTTTTTATCCCATTTTCGCACTTACCAACACATTTGTTGACGAAAAGTTTGATATGATTTTATAGCAGTGTCAATAAGTTCGCGGCGTCCTACTGGTAGACCACAACTAAATACCAGCGAGACCAGCCGTTTTTGGTCTTAGTCTCGGCGCCAACCGAACAGGGATCATCATGTCCATATCTAGTGTAGGACTATAGGTAGTGAAGCTATAATGGTGTAAAGCCATAAGAGGTAAAGCTACAAGGATATCAGGCTATTACGTCTATCTTTATATATATATATAATGCGAACTGTCTAATTGTCTATTACTGGGTTGAGGTTAAAGCATAGATGTGAAACTTTAAAGAAAAAAACAGTCGTGCAATATGTACGGGATCTCGCTAGTGAGTATAATATATTTTAGTTCGATGTAATGTAGGATGATCCAAAAAAAACTTACCGCCCTACGTGTTTCTGGTTCTTTGAAAATACATGTATTCCAAATGACGAACTTTTTTTTGTTTCAAAAACTATGAATAGTTACATGGTACATAATAGATGCTTCTAGTTCTTGAAATAAGAAATAGTTTATACATACAATAAATCTCGTTTCAAGAAGGTCGAAAATAGTTTGGGGTAAGTTTTTTTGGACCACCTGTAATATCTTTGTTTTTAATGAAAATAAAGTTTGCAAAAAAAATCTTGTTACCTGATCCAGTTGATGTGGCAATTGTAGTAACTGTATTCTTGTCAATTTTATCCAATAGTTCTAGTGCCGATTCAAACAAAGGCAATTGGATATTAAAACAACAATAATATATGATTAATCGTTGTAGTATGTCAGGTATTAGATCAAAATGTTTTGCATCATGACCAACATATTTCCGATTTGTCTTGAAATCTGTTTTAACTCGATTAACGAATGTTTCTAGAACAGTGATTGATTCTTTAGTTGGCTTTTTTTCATGATGACTTCGTTGCAAGATAATATTTTGTTCAATAAATTCTTCAAGCGCTTGATGCTTTGGTGGTTCTATTTCTCCAGTAAACGACTTATCTTTTATAAAATTATTTGTTTGTTGTTCTATTTCAGCTTTTATTGTCGTTAAATCATTCAAAATGCATTTTTCGGTCAACGATTTGACTATATCTTCAATATGATGATTAAACAATTCAGTGTATTCATTCGCCTTGTCTTGTAGTAGTCGAATAAAAGATTTGACATACTGTTTCCAATATTGTGTTCTAGATTTAATCTTTGAAAGTTCTATTTCTATAGATTTGATGATTCTCTGCAAACATCGTTGATAGTAATCTTTAGCTCTTTGTATTAACCGTATAAATCTTCGAATTCGTTCTAGAACTGCTTTGAATATAGCATGATGATCTTGAAAACCGACAATGGTTACACTATATGTTACAATTGATCCATTAGTTACTTCACCAAGTACCATTTTGGGTAGTCTATCAATGAAATGCTCATCGATTTTCTGTCCTATTTTCTTCATATGATCGATGATTAATAATTGTTTTGGTGCAAGAAAGTCTCGTGCTATTTGTGTTTCAATTTTGTTGTACTGGGTAGCTATAATAGATTTTTCTATTTTATCCATTTTCGCCTTTTCTTGTTCTCCCTTTTGTTTCTGAATTTGTAATTCTTTGTTCAATTTGTCGAGTTCGGAGATTTGCTGTGCTTGTCGTTCTTTTTCTTTTTCAGCATTCTTCTGTTTGTCTTGAGTGGTTAGAAGTTGTTGCTCGAGATTTTGCTTCTCAGTTTCATTCTTTTGAATTAATTTGGCGTTGTTTGCTTCCATGTCTTTTATTTTTTTAGCAAAATCTAATATTTCTTGAACTTTTCGTTCTTTTTCTGCTTCGGCAAGCTTTTGTTTTTCTTGAGCGGCTGCAAGTTTTTTTTCCACTTCTCTATCGGCTTTTTGCTTCATTTCCTTTGCTGTCTTTTGGGCTGCTTGTAATTGGTTTATTTCTTCTTCGAGTTTTAAGATTTCATCCGATTGACGTTCTCTTTCTCGTTGAGCTTTCATATGAGCATTTTTAGTGATGGCAAGTTCATTTTCCAAATCTTGATTTTCTTTCTTCTTTTGATCTAATTGCTTATTTATTATTTGTACTTCTTCAGCAGTCTTTTTGATTTTTTGTTGCTGAGATTCCATCTCTGCTCGTAATTTATCAAGATTTGTAATTGAAATTGATTTTTCTTCCATAGATACTTGTTGTGATAAACTAGTATTTGTTAATTCTTCTTGTAAATTATCAGCAAGACTTTTTTCCTGTGTAGTATCCTGTGATGTTGACGGACTTGATGACTGATGAATATTTCCGGTGGCTGTACTTGTCAAAGTAATATCCTCCTTAATTTTAATATCAAACAATGACCATTTTCCATTCTCTGACGATTCGGTTCCCTGATAAGAACAATAGAAATTTTATTTTAAGATTATAGATGTACAATTTCAAAAAATCTTGCGTCCGTAGAGGATCATTTTTAGACCTTAAAAGTTCTATGAAACAAGGATTCTAAGAGAAAGTGAATGAGATAACACCAGGGTTGCCAGATTGTCCGAATTGTACCCCTCATAGTGACTACGTAATATGTGAATGTATTACAGAATTCACATGTTACGTAGTGTGAATTCTGTAATACATTCACATATTACGTAGTCACTATGAGGGGTACAATTCGGACAATCTGGCAACCCTGGGTAACAGCCAACTGGAGATTGGAAAAAATTTTACTATAGGCTCCTGTGTCATTGAATTAAAGCTTATGCTTGAAAACCCATCGATTTAAAATTTTACCTTATTTAGACCTAGCTCTGAAAGATTAGTGATTTAAAAGTTTAAAATACCATTTTAACACTTTAACTTTTTAAAGTTAAAGTGCTTGTGCCATCGGCAAGAAACGATCATGCCAAGAATCTTGGGTCCTCATTCGGCTATCCTTGGAGGGTACTTGGGTCCCCATTTGGCATCCTTGGAGGGGTACTTGGATTCTCATTTGGCCATACTTGAAGGGCACTTGGGTCCCCATTTGTCTATCTCTGGAAGGTTACTTGGCTCCTCATTTGCCTATCCTAGGAAGAGCACTTGGGTCATCATTTGCCTAGACCTGGAGGAGTACTTGAGTCCTCATTCGCCTATCCTTCGGGGAGTACTTGAGTCCCCATTTGCCTTTTCTCGAGGAGTACGTGAGTCGTCATTTTGCCATCATTCTTGGAGGGGTACTTGGGTCTCCATTTGTCTATCCTTCGAAGGGTACTTAAGTCTTCATTCAGCTATCCTTGTAAGGGTAGTGGAGTGTATGGTGAGACTTGAGCGTCAAATTTAACAGTACTTTAAACTCTAATCAAAGTGAAACACTTTATCACTTTAACTGAGAAAAAAAATAAAAGTTAAAGTGACTAAGTTATTGAATACCAAAAACTTGTGAGTTTAAGTCTTGCTCGAATCTGATTGGTAAATATGTCGACCAATCAGATTGCAGGAAACTAGATCTCTCTCAATTCTACGAGAAGGCACAATGTTCCGCAGACCACATGAAAGAGAGCCCTCACTATCCCCATGATTGACTAGCAGAACCCCATATTTCGTCGCAGCAACATTGGTGGATCTAGCAGTGCGGCGATCCAGTGATCACCATCCTTCGCGGAATTTTTTTCGCATTTTTTCACAATAGAAACGAAGAAAAAAAAGGGTTTTGCTGCCTCGAATAGGTGTTGAAACGCATGTTTTGACCATCACCGCTGCCGCTGCAAAAAGTCGCCATTCCCTCACTGATTTTCTGGTTCCACCACTGCGCAGCAATAGTAAAGAAAATCCCTACTAAAATCTGATACGCTGATTTCTCAATCAATTGAACTGCACAAAATTATATCTTTCTTAACTCTGCGAGCAGAGCAGAGTGTTCCGCAAGTCATATGAAAGGGAGCCCCCACTAGGTCTATGATTGACTAGCAGAACAGCATGTTTTGTCACAGTAATAGTGAAGAAAAACCGTGCACAAATCTAATGCTTTGAAAAATTAGCCCATCAGTTTTCCGCAAAGTACTTCTTCACTATTCCTACGACAAAACATGATGTTCCGCTAGCCGATCATGGGGATAGTGAGGGCTCTCTTTTATATGGTCTACGGAACATTGTGCCTTCTCGTAGAACTGAGAGATCTAGTTTTCTGCAATCTGATTGGTCGACGTATAAGCCAATCAGATTCGAGCAGTACTTAAACTCACAAGTTTTCGGTATTCGATAACTTAGTCACTTTTAGGGCCCTCCTGTCAAAAACTTACTTTTTCCCTAGAGCAACCGATCTTGCTGAAATTTTCAGGAAATGTGTGCTCGGGTCTAATGAGCTTATGATAAAAGTTTCAGCCAGAAATGTTGAGTTATTCAAGAGTTATTCAAAGAAGAAGGCTCAAAAAGTAGGTCCCCGTCTGTCCCAAATTTCTCCTCCAAATTTAATGATACAGGTCTGGGTTGGTGTCAAAATGTAGCCAACATCTGCCGCTACAACCTGATAGGGCCCAATTTTTCAAATTCTTCCTTATTAATTTTTGGTGGAAGTTTTTCTCAAAAAATAGGGGATACACCCGTAAAAAAAATCCATTTTTTTCAAAAACGATGTCAAAAATAAAAAATCCGGTCCTATTAGGTTGTACAGCACAATTTTTCATTCAATTTAAGACCTTTCTCAACTTTCTAGCATGTGATATAGCTGAGAAATCTGGGACGCACTTACTAGAAAAAGTCGAAAAATCAATCTTGAGAAAAACGTCAAATAAGTTTAGGCATTGAAAAATCATTTTCTTGCCCGTCATGAAGTTCTGCAAGAAAATTGATGCGAACGACGTGTGAAAGTGTGTAGGGCACATATGCCCATATATGCCGGTCACACTTTCCATGTCACAGACCTCTAGAGAAACCGAAAAAGCTTCGAAGACTTATGCTCGCAAAGTACCTTTGAGATCATTGGTTTTTAGTGAAAACCTCTATAAAACCTGCAGAAACCATCGTAAAACCAATAAGTTATAATGCATTCGAAAGCGCAAAACTTGCACTATCCAACCATGTGTGAATCTTGAAAACCGCCAGGTTGAACAAAAATTAAAATTTTTGACAGGAAGGGTCTTAACTGTTTTTTTTTCAGTTAAAGTGGTAAAGTATTTCGCTTTAATTAAAGTTTAAAGTAACGTTAAACTTAACCCTTTACCCCCCATTGGTCACTGGAGTGACCATTTGTAGAACAATTGCGAAAACTAAACGAAGCATCTGATTCAAAAGCGATAAGAACCTTTTTTGTAGCAAACTTCATGGACTATTGATTGGTAAAAAGAACATTTCCCTTCATTGCTTCTTTACTGAAATATTGAGTCTACAAAAGCGGTGATTTTGAAGAAATGAAAAAAAATCGAAAATTTTGAAACAAAATGTTCCCTACGCGTAGGCAACAGAGATTTTTTGGAATTGCCGTGTGATATTAATTGATGAAGGAACCCTCTGATGAATGAGATATGTTTTGAAAGTTTCATGAGACCTTCGCGAACTACAGATACAAAGTAAAACAATTGACCATGTAACCACTATGTGGCAGACGAAGGGTAATCAAGAGCGAAGTTAATGCATGTATTATAAAGCTCAGCTCATGCCAAGCCGAAATCCTATATATGATGAATTATATTTCTTCAGAGGCTATAACATGGCTCAGAGCAAATTAGGCTATAACTTGACAATACGTGTAAAAAATCCATGTATTCTTTAGTTTAAAATTTTTTCGGTTCACTTCTTGCCTTTTTTCCGTTACTCTAATAGTGCAAGATAGATGTTGCTTCGGCCTACTCAATAATGTGGTCAAAGAAAAAAAAATCAGTATTACAGTATAGTATAATTCCCTTCCTCCAGCACAAGATTCTGGGATCAATCAAATCGCCCTACTCTAGAGGCAGGACATTCAATGGATCAGACCACACCAGTGGCATACTAGAGGGGCTAGTACTCCATTAATAAAGCTATTTTGTCAGTGGCTCTTCTGGAACTGCTATGGGGGGTAAAGGGTTAAAGATAAGGTTCCACGCTAGATCCGGCTACCCCTCCTGGAACAGCTGAATGCGGACCCAAGCATCCTTTCATGGATAGCGGAATGAGGATGTAAGTACCCTCCTGGATAGCCCAATGAGAACCCAAGTATCGTTCCTAGGATGGCTAAATGAGGGTGTGGGTGTGGGTGTAAATGAATTAAATATCCATACCCACGCCGACACCCTCACATCCACACCCATACTTGCACACACCCACACCCATATCACACCCCACACACACTCACACTCACACCCGCACCCACACCCACACCCATCCGCATTGCTGGAAAAAATTTTTAGGGGCGTCTGCTCCACGCCCACCATTCCGGGTGATATGTCCGCCTGGTGTCCGATCTGAGTCCACTTCTCTGGATAATATGTCGGCTGAGCGTAATAAGTTTTTAAAAAATTGGTATAATGGATTTCTCCAGTTCCGATGAGGTAGACCGCCAGGCGGTCACCCAGCGGCCACGCCGCTCCGTGCCTTATTGAATAAAAGAATATGGGCGACCGCACCGCTCCGCGCCTTGTTGATGAAAAGCGCATGGACGGCCGCGCCGCTTCGCATCTTGTTAGAAAAAAAACCACGGGCGGCTGCGCCGCCCCCACCCCCTCCCCACCAAAAAGTTCCCTGGCGGTGACCGCGTCCGCAATAACTTTGGAGGCTTCTGCCGTCCTTCCGCGCCGCCTCCTCCTCATTTTTTAGGCGCAGTGCGCATATCTGGTACCTGCCTATATGTCTGTGCCGGGTCAAAGTCGTACGGCTATAAGGGTTCAAAGCTATAGGATAAAGGTCACAAGAGAATAAAGCTATCAGGGTAAAAGAAGATTAGGAGATAAGGGCACAGGCCTATAAGAGTAAAGTGGATAAGGTCACAGGGATTAAGGGTATAAGATGATAAGGCTATAAGAGGGGCTAATATTATCAGAGTATACGACTAAAGAAGTTTACCGGTTGAGGGTATAAAGGAATAATGGTATAAGTGGGCAATACTGTAAGATTATCAGGCTACAAGGGGTACGACTACAAGAATATAATGCTATAAGGTCTATCTATATATATAATGTGAAGCGTTGGATTGTCTATTACCGAATCAAGACTAAAGCACTGATGTGAAACTTTACAGGAAAAAAGCAACCGTGCAAAATACACGGGCTCTCGCTAGTTTCATTCATAAAAGAACGAACAGAAAGTTAAAATGTAGTAAAACATTTCGAATTTGGATACAATTTTTTTTACCTGTTCTGCATCGTCTAAGTCATCGTCATCGACGTTTTTACTTAAAAGATCTGGCGATGTAGGATCTTGATCATATTCGTCTTCTTCTTCTAATAGATCATCGTCTAATTTCGCAGTTGATGTCGTATGTTTGATTTGTGATATTTCTCGAAGTCGTTTTGTCGTGAAAGGTATTGGTTGAACATGAGCTAAACTTTCATAATTATCAACTTCGTGGATTTTATTTCGGTAACGTTCATCATTTGCAATCAATTTTGGAATCCAGCGTATGTAACCTGATATCGTGTTTTCTCTATTTGTAAATGTAAATGCTTGAAGATCAAATCCTAAATCATTTCCTACAAATTTCAGATCCAAAGTTATCCGTTTTTGTCGATAATTCATGGCCTTGTCAATATATGAATTGATGGTTCTCGTACAGTTATACCAACAATTGAGCTGTAATTGAAAGCGACTGTCATAAACTGTTGGGATATCAACTACCTTCATCGATGGTTCGCCTTGAGTTTTGATTTCAGTATGTTTGATAAGCATTATTTGCCATCGTGAAAAACAATCAAAATTGAAAATGCTTGAACCACGACATCGAACCCATGCACGACGATTTGTTGGATCACGATTCCTACCAGATCGTTGAAATTCAACGATTGAAATACTAAAAGTATTTGGAGGTGCACCCAAATAAACTGTGCGCTGCATTTCTTTATCAGGTAATACTATTAATGATTTATTTAATTCCTTTGATTCATCATCCGAAAATTGAATCCATTGTTGATCAGATGATGATTTATATTCCCAAATGCAATCAAATATTCCGTTTTCTGTTCTTTCTGAAATTGGTTTTTCGGGTAATTTTTTGGTTGTGACGGAATAACTTACGAGAAGAAAATCTTCAAAAAATTTACGAATATCAGGATGCATTTCTCCATTCATTATCGGTGTTTCTAGTAGTTGATTTTGAATGAAATAATCAGCACCATGTTTAATCAAATATATGACAATGTTCAAGTGTCCATTGAAACAGGCACCATGTAGTGGTGCCGACCCCGCTGATGGAGCTACATTTCGATATGTACTTGACACATGTATTTGCAATACATCTTCAA